GGGGCTTTTCCTTTATGGCTTCGGCTGGGGCTCGATCGAGGGGTGCGGCTGGGGGCGGGCGGTTGGGGCTGCGTGCCGAGAGGCCCTCGCGCGGCTTCTTAGATATCGGAACCAGGGTGGGAGCTGCACTGTACGTGTGAGTGCCAGGGCCCGGGGGCCCAGGTCCACTGACAGAGCCGATGGGGTAATCATGGCGTGGGAGCTTCACTGTACGTGTGAGTGCCAGGGCTCGGGGGCCCAGGTCCACTGACGGAGCCGATGGGGTGATCATGGCGAAGCGTCTCAAGATTAATGCTTTAGGCTGGGGTCGGGTATGAGGTTTTTCTCCATGGCTTCCCAAGCAAGGGGAAGGACCGCGCGTGCACCGCTGCTGCGATGTTTATTAACTTGATGTGCAAACTGCCCCTTCTCAGGATCGTTTATCCGATCCCCATTCCCATCCCCTTCGAGACCCCCACCAAATTACCATCCCAGTTGGGGATACACCCCTCGAAGCCAAAAGGGAACGACCCGTATCCCCATCTAGGGGGGTAAATCGGCCAGTGGGGCCCAGGCCACGCTGCTGGGGATGGGGATCGGATAAGCGATACTCGTCTTCCTCAAATTTTAAAGGTGCCGCCTTTGCCGCCGACCCCAAAATTCGGTGGCGAGCCCGAGGCTCGAGGGCTGGCCTTCTCCAGAAGGCTCGGACGTCCCCTGGCCTTCTCCCAGACGGCTCGTGGGAGTCCTTCGGCCTTCTGAGACGCCTTCGGAGCTCGCCCCGACGACGCAGAGAGCCTCTCAGAAGGCCCGAGGCCATCCAGGAGGCCCCGCCGCTCTCCGAGAAGGCCCTCTCCTCCTCACTTCCCCCCCCCTCGCTCACCGCCGGCAAGTGAGGCTTTGGTGCTTCTCTCTGTCGTGCTGTCTGCTTCATGGCCAGGCTTCTGTGGGTGACTTTGGGCCCTGCCGCCGACCGTCTCTGACGGTCGGCCCGACGTTGGGCCCTCGTGGGCCGCCTCGGTCGTTCGGCTCTCCTCCGGTGCCCCGCAGTCGGCGGTTGGGTTCCCCTGGAGGGTACTCGGGGCGTTCGGCGATCCTCGGGCCGTCTTGAAAGCGCAGGGGAGCCTTCGGACGGAGGCCTCGATCTGTGTTGGTGTGTCCAGCTGCAGGAGCGCGAACCTACATCATTTCACTAGGGTTCGTGGCTGTGGTGGTGGGGATCTATGTCATATTCGAACGTGGTGCAGGGCAGCCACATGCGGAAGAATGCGATTCCACCTCTTGGGTGGCAGGTAGAACAAAACACAGGTCGCATCCCC